GGGGTTAGATCAGAGTATTCTTGGCAGCCAGATACGCAACAGAAAGAGAGAAATAATAGTGCAGAAAATCCCAGAATAACATAAAAGTAAGTAAAACGTCTATGGTCCTACTTACAGCTGATAGAGCTTAACCTGGCATACAACGGTACAATCCCTACTTATAGGATACATAAAATGGTGTAGGAAGTCAGATGTATTATCGGTATGAAGACCATAGAAAAATAAAAGAGACATCAATAGTGCTCACAGTATAAAAGGTACCAGGAGTATCGAATAAAGAATAGGTACATTTAATTGGGCAGACTAACTGCTCAGTGTGTAGGCATAAGTGGTATAATCCCCACCGTGGATTCTTTTGGAGTAGTCCTCACTGGAACTTAAAATCAAATGCCAGGTAGAAAATAATAAAAAAGTAAAATGGCACACTCACAGTGGAAAGAGGACAAAATACCTTAATTAAAACACAATGTAAAACAAACATTTAAAATATCCACAACGCGTTTCACAAAAGTGGCTCTCTCAAGTGGCGGTAGAAAAATCACACCTGGCAGGTTTATGCTTAGGTAATTCCGCCACTGCTTTTATGTTATTCTGGGATTTTCTGCACCATTAGTACTCTTGTTCTATTGCATATATGGCTGCCAAGAATACTCTGATCTGATCCCATTCCAGAGGAACTATCCTGACTCTTTGAGGTTTTATCTTCCAGCAAGTTTTTACATTTGAGGCCTTATGTTTTAAGTTCTTTTAGTTTGGTGTATTAGCGCTGATCCTTATATATATATATATATATATATATATATATATATATATATATATAGTTTTATATAGATAGACAAAACTAATAAGGATAAGAATGTGTGGATAGGATGAAGGGTCTGGGAATGATGGGAGTTTAGTAAGGGAAGAATAAAAGTCAGAGGGAAATGGTAGGATCTGAGAAGAAAATGTGTATCTGAAAAGTAGACAGAGCTTTGGAGTTTTTGAAGTGGATTTGAGAATTTAGGGAAAGATGAGAGCGGTATTAGTGGCCTATGCTTGCTTGATGGGGTTGGGGGAAGGTGAAGCAGTAGAGGGCCTACAAGTAGGACTCATATAAAGATAGTCCTGGTGTAAATAGAAAGCAGATTTTCATGAGCATTAAATCTGAACCTCCCAATAGAATAATCATCAATCTAACTTGCAACTTATGCTAAGAATCAATAATTAGAAAGACTCTCTTTAACGTGAAAGGAATATGGGATGGTTCTCCATCCATGTGGACAAAATCCATTAATTTCTTTATCTTTTAAATTACATTATTCCATTACTCTTGTTTCTGTAGATAACATAATACATAATATTAATTTCAATAATTAGCTGGCCCAATACTGAAGCACAAAAAAAGAGAATTAAACACAATTAGTCAGAAATAAACCTGGCATTGTGTTACAGTTTTTCTCATTATTACACAATATTTACAATTCATACTAAACCATTTTGCATAGAAGTAATCTTAATGATTTAAGTAACTTTGTTATCATCACTGTATTTTTGGTGTGTTTTTATTTTTTTAAGTATAGCATTTTATTACGATTATCGGTATCTCCACGTAACGTAAAAAACACAAACCTTTTTCATATGAATTACTGCTATTGTTTTCTTATAAATAAGCCGTTCACTAAATTTCCAAATGTAATTAGCCATAATTTTACACTGACGAACAGCCTGGTTAAAAATTCCAAAAATATTAACTATCTAAATAATTTCTTATTTTTAATTATGTTGCTCCTGTGTATAGCTTATTAATTATAGCTAAATTATAGCTAAGCAAGAAGCAAGTAGCTATTTATTTCATACAATTTTTTTGTTTGTTTGTATGTTTTTACCATGACACATTGAGATTTCATGAAATTTCAAGTATATTCTGCGGTACATGTTATGGAGTGTATTCTGTTAAAAGGCATAAATTGAACTCTGGTCACTGAATAGCAGTTAATTGATGGATATCATGCTCATATTATAATTAACAGAAATATGCTTGTAACTTACTAGAATCTAGTCCTATAGTTCTACTGTCAACCAAACTAGACTAAATACCAGAGATCAGATATTCCTCAAATGGAGCTATTTGGCCAATTCTACTTTTCGGTAGAATGCTGTGGCATTTAGTTTTTTTTTAAGCTGTCATTATGCAACCAAATAGTATTGTTGTGCACTGAAGTACACCGATGTATGATATATGTATTTTATATCACTGTTGCATAGTAGAAATATAGAGAGAAGAGTCTGTATGAGGAAATCAGAGCTGAAGAACAGATGAACTGGAATTGCTTGATTGACAGGAAAAATGCTTAAGCCTGAAGAGATAGATCCCTGGCACGGGAGACTTTAATAAGTTCTTCAGAGATGACTTGCTGAGTTAGGAGATTTGTGATTTATACAAAGCCAATATGAAAGGCTCTGACTAAAGTAAAGGGAGCCTGGTAGTTTCACTTACAGTTCAACAATATGTCGATATTGGGATAATATCGAATTCCAAAGATAGTGTGGCACTCAGGAGACCAAACAGTGACTCCTTGATCTCCGTGGAAGGAATTTGGAGTCCCTTAAAACTATTCAGTATTCAAAATCAAAATTCAAGGCATCACAGTTAGTAGAGGTTTTATTAGGATCAGACAAACTAAATCATATGCAATGTTTCGGCCCCAAGCCTTAATCATGTATACTGAATAAAGAACAATCAAAACCATAAATGCCAATGGCGAAAACCTTTTGTTCTTCTGATCCTAATAAAACCTCTATTAATTGCACCACACTGTGATGCCTATTGTGATAATAGTAGTCTGCACTATAAAACCTGCTAAGTGAATAAAATATGAGAACGCGTAAGAAAATAAAGTATTTTTAAATACAGAGGGGACTATAGGATAGCGAGTGATGATGGCCCTTAAGTAGATAATGTAACACATTTCCTGTTTTAATAGGCATAAGAGCTAGCCATACTAAATTTTGGAAGTGTCTAAATCAGCTTCTAGGTTGCAAAGTAGGAGTGTACTGAGCACAAACGAAGATTATGTTTATGCTGTTTTCACTGGTTTATATTTTCATATAACCATAATGTGTAAATAGAAACTATGTAAGATACCTGTTGTGAGCTATGCCATGTGACTTGGCGATGTTTGTTCAAATTGTGTACATAGTTACATATGTTGAAAAAAGACCATCATGTTTAGTCTTTCTCACATCTATATTGTTTCTTTTTTTTTGCTTTTGATCCAAAAGAAAACCAGTTTGATGCACTTTCAAATTTTGCAACAAACTAAGGGAAAATATTCCTTTTTGACCCAGAATGGCAGTCAGATCTTTCCCTGGATTAAGAAGCTGTTGCCGCACATATTAAAAATTATAAAACATATTATGTTTTTGTAACCATTCAACCAGTTGATGTTTAAACCTCTGTACAGACTCTGATAAGACCATCTCTTCAGGCAAAGAATTACACATTCTTCTTTCCTTTGCCTTAAACTAAATCTCCTTTCTTCCAGTCTAAACGAGTGATCATGTGTCCTGTCTATAGTCCTGTTTATAGATTTCCAGACAATAATTTGTATTGGCACTGAAAGAATTTATATAATGCTATTGTATCCCCTCTGTAGTGCTGTTTTCCTAAACTAAACAGATTTACATTTTTTAGCCTTTCTTCATAACTAATATGTTCAATTCCCTTTATTGATTTTGTAGCCCGCCTCTGTACTTTTTGTACTGCCATATCCTTTTTTAGAACAGGTGGCAAAAATTTCACAGCATATTCAAGGTGTGGTCTTACCATTTATGTAAAAAGAAGCAAAATAATCATTTTTATCCTGACAATGAATGCTCCTTTTTATACATGACGTGTTTTTTAATGCATGCCAATAGTGACTGCTGATTGACAGTACACATTGTTGCCCAAATTGTTGTCTATAACAATTCCCAAATCCTTCTCATGTGTTGTTACCACTACTTCACTGCCATTTAGGGTGTAAATTGCTTGTGCATTCTTCACCCTGTAGTTGCATTTATCTACCTTTAAATTTCATCTCTCATTGGAGTGCCAAGTCCTCTAATCAATCCCTCTGTAATGAAGCAATATCCTGCTCACATTGTATAACAATTACAGTAGTATTGTTGCGCCACCTGCAAACACTGATATATGACTTTCAGTGCCTATTTTAATGTCACTTATAAATAAAATGAATAGATGTGGTCCCCGAACAGAACCCTGACTGACACCTTTTACCACTTTTGTCCAGCTTGAAAATACGATATTAATGACAACTCTTTGTACTCTATCTTAATAAGTCAATGTTCTACTCAAGAACAATTATTTTCATTTAGGTCAATCTCTTTTAGTTTTAACACTAACCTATGGTGTGGACCCTTAATGAATACCTTGGGAAAATCCAAATAGATCACATCCACTACAACACCCTGACCTACAGAGGCGTGCGCACGAGGTGTGCCTGGGCACACCCTAATCCCGTGGCACGCCTATGGTTTGAGTCCTGCAGGAACAGCGTTTCTTCAGGCACTTAGCGCCCCCTGTCTCACCTCTTGCCCCTGTCATGTGGCAAGACCATGGATCCCCCCCCCCCTCTCGCCATCTCAGCCGCGGCGAGGGAGCTGTCTGCTCTCTGCTTCCTCTCGCCGCGCGCCGTTTGCTGATGCTGGGAGCCGGAATATGACGTCATATTCCGGCTCCCAGCTACTGTAGACAGCACACAGCTCCCTCGCCGCGGCTGAGATGCAGACAGGCGCCCACCCCACTGGACCCCAGGGACAAGTCCACGCCAGCACTCCAGGTAGGGAGGCTGGGTGGACATTTTTTTATTAAAATATAATAATTTGTATGTGTGTCTGTGTGTGTGTGTGTCTTTGAATGTGTGTGTGTCTGTGTGTGAGTGTGTGTGTGTATGTCTGTGAATATATGAGTGTGTGTCTGTGAGTGTATGTGTGTGCGTGTGTCTGAATGTGTCTGTGAGTGTGTTTGTACGCATATGTATGTGTATATATATATATATATATATATATATATACATACATACACACACACACACACACACACACACACACACACACGTGTATATTATTTTTTGGGGGGGTTGGGAATCTTGGGAGAGTTCCCACACATTATTCCCGATCTCCCCTGTCGGCTCACACAGAGCCGGCGCTATCTGAGTGCCGGCTCTGCTCTAAGCCTTCATGGGACGGCGGGGAGACCAAAGATCTACCTCACCGGCCCACAGCAGCATGGAGGGAGGCAGGAGAGGACCCAGGGAGCTCTAGACAGAAGCTCCGCCAGGTTCCTCTCGCGATATCTGAGCGTTGCCGCGGCAACACTCAGATCTCACAAGAGTTATCTCTAGCCCCACAGGCTAGAGTTCACTCTCCACTGGACCACCAGGGATGGCACATGGCAGCAAGGATTTACTAATCTGCCCCCACCTCCACAATCCCTCCAAACATACAGCACACACACATACAGCACCTACACACATACAGCTCACACACACACAGTACACTAACCGCACCCTCACAAACACACACAGCACCTTTAAAAAAAACACAACACCCTCACACACAGCACACTAACAGCACCCTCACAAATACAAGACACTCACACAAACAGCACCCTCACAGGACAAATACACACACACACAAACACCCTCACACACAAACAGCACAGTCACAAACACACACACACACAAACACCTTCACATCACACTAACAGCACCCTCACACACACATCACACTAACAGCACACACACCACCCTAACAGCACACACAGCAGTGTGTGTGTGTGTGTGTGTGTGTATATATTTATATATATACACACACACATACACATACATGCGGCGTGTGTTTGTGCTTTAGGGTGCACACCCTAATGCAATAGGCTGTTTCAGAAGACCATTCTGATTTTATAATTTTATTTTTAGATGCTAATGACATTGTTCTTTAATATTAATCCCTGAGTATTGTCCCTTAATAATCCTTCAAATACTTTTCCAGCTACAGCAGTTAAGCTCACAGGCTTATAATATCCAGACAAGGATATTAAACCCTTTTTTAATAAACCACGCGTGCCTTTCTCCAGTTTTCTGGTACAATTTCTGAAAGAAAAGAATCCTGAAAAATTCCTGTCCTAACATTCGGTGTTAATTCATTTTTAATGTTGCAGTGCTAAACAAGAGTCCACAGCAGCCCATCCCTTCTGTGCTGCTTAGGCTAATGAGGAAGCATTACTTTGAGCAGCAATTGGTCAGCGTACTGCCTTCAATGTATAACGCTACCCATTTCTGGTATAAATTGGTGCGACTAAACGGAAGTGTGCGGTTTCTGCTGTAACCAATCCTCCTGTCGAGGCTGGGCTGGCCAGTGACATTCATTTAGTAATAAACTACTTGAAAATTGTTTAACACTGAGTGGAGAGACAGTGCCAATGGACTCCAGGTACTACAGCCAGTTTAATGAGATGAAAATATTACAGGTCCTACAGTGTCTTTTTTTTTTTTAACTAACTATAAGTTCTTTAGGTCAGAAAAATTAAATCTAACGTAGAAATCAACACAGCTGTATTTACTTCCATCCTGGAAATGTGTACCTCCATCTTTATATACTGTTAGTCATGTTTAGAAGCTCTGCCCTTTTCTGTCCTTTTCTTCTGTCAGTCCGCAGAGAAATTTTCTCGCATTTTGCATCTTCATAGAGAGAGAGAAAATCAGAGGGCAGAATGTAACCTAATAATTGGAGTAGAAGAAATTAAACCAATGTTTTTATTCCTCCTCCTCCAATGCCATCTGTGCCCTGGCAGTTAGGGCTGAACTGTATTGTGATGCCAATAACTAAATCTTTAGTGTACAGTTGAAAGAAAATTGATCATTGAAAATACATAAACACTAGGATTTATTAACCCCTTAAGGACAGCGGGCGTTCTATGCATTCCTTTTTGGGGTGGCTCTAAATGCTGGAGGGCGGCATAGAACATCCCCGCCGTCCTTCTTACTCACTGGGTCCCCGCCGATCCCCTGACGGCAGTCACGAGCCTGAGGTCTGTCTGGGAGCTCAGGCAGACCCCCTCTGCCCGATCCGGTCCTTCCAGGCCATGTGATCACGGGGTCCTCGCAATCACATGGCCGGAAAAGCCGGCTTATGCAGTGCCTGCAGGAGTACTGCCTGAACTCTCAGGCTGTCCCCCTAGAGGCTGTAAAAAAGTTTTAAAGGTTAAAACACAGTTTTAAAACACTTTATAAATGTAATAAAAGTACTTAGAGCATATATATATATATATATATATATATATATATATATATGATCTATGTGTGTATGTATATATATATATATATATATATATATATATATATATATATATATATATATATATATATATATATAAATATAAGCTTAGTACTTTTATATGCACATACACATACATAAACTATTATTCTAAGTGTATTTTATATATATAATTACATAAATATTAATATTAAAAAACACTTAGAATCATGTTAATTTTATATTTATAATTATATATTGATCTTGTGTATTGTATTTTTTTTTATATATATATATATATATATATATATATATATATATAAAATAAAAATTCATAAATTCATTTAAAAAAATGAAAAAATAAAATAAAAAAATTATACAAAAAAATGTAACTGTATTTTGATATTAATATACATATTTAAATCAAAATACATTTAACTATAAAACCTGTACATGGGGGGGGGGGGTGTACTGATTTACGCAGGAGACTTTGCTGAACACTAATATTAGTGTTTTAAAACAGTAAAACATATCACAACAATGATATCGTCAGTGAAAGTGAAATTGTTTGCATTTTTCACACACAAACGGCACTTTCACTGACTATATAGTTGTGATACGTTTACTGTTTTGAAACACTGATATTTGTATTCAGCGAAGTACCCTGAGGATAACAGTACCCACCATGTACAGGTTTTATGTTTTGTTTTAAAAGCTACTGGGTCAAATATAAGGCTTGCATTTACGTTTTTTTTTCACATTGAAATTTGCCAGATTGGTTATGTTGCCTTTGAGACCGCATAGTAGCCCAGCAATGAGAATTACCCAAATTATGGCATACCATTTGCACAAGTAGGCAATCCAAGGTATTGCAAATGGGGTATGTTAAGTCTTTTTTAGTAGCCATTTAGTCACAAACACTGTAAAAATTTGTGTTCTATTTAGTTTTTTGCATTTTTCACATACAAACAAATATGAACGCTAACTTTGGCCAGTGTTTGTGACTGCATGGGTTCTAAAAAAGTCTGGGCATACCCCATTTGTAATACCTTGGCTTATCTACTTGTGCAAATGGTATGCCATCATGGAGGTAATTTTCATTTCTGGGCTACCATGTGGTCTCAAAGACAAAGTAACCAATCTGGCAAATTTCAGTGTGTATGTGTAACATGCTATATTTGACCCTGTAACTTTCCAAAACACCATAAAATAACAAAATCTTTTAATTTCTCACATTTTTTATATTTTATTCATATTAAGTTATGTTTCATATACAAATATTGGATGTGACGAGCCCTGTTTCTCCTGAATAAAATTATATATAATAAGTGTGGGTGCATTTAATATGAAAGAGGCGAATTACGGTTGAACAGACATATAGCGCAAATTCCAGGTTTTGTTTACGTTTTGATCACAACTTGTACAATTGGCTCAGTCCTTAAACGGTTAAAGGGAGATCATTTTAACCCCTTAAGACCGGAGGGCGTACAATTACGCCCTATTTTAGGCGGCTCTAAACGCCGCCGGGCGTAATTGTACGCCCTCCGGTCTTTTCTTACTTACCCGGTCACCGGCGGTCCCCCCCCCGCGGCAGGTCCTCCTCCTCCGGTCCCCCCCGGCCATGTGAGAGTGAGGTCCTTGCGAGGACCTCACAATCACATGGCCGGGATAGCTGCCTGCTGCATTGCCAGCAGGGGGGACTGCCTGTAATGACAGGTGGTCCCCCTGCTGGCTGGAAATAAAATAAAATAAAATGAATAAGTGTAAAAAAAAAAAAAAAATTATACTTAGATCATATATATATATGATCTAAGTATATATATAAATTGTTTAACGCCTATAAGCATTTACTAACATGTCACTTCCGTCAACATCCGTGCACAATGTTATTTAAAGACAGAGATGCATCACTAAACAGCGCCAGAAGTCCGATCCACTACAGTCTGGAAGGAAGGTATTCACACTTTGACCACTTTGCCTCAAACCTATATACTATACAATAATAGAACTTCTTCATTAACTAGATTGATTTGATCCAGTGCCATCTGAATTACACATTTGCCTACTTAGTTACTTAGTATTCCAGACCTCTGTTGTTTAGTCATTGAAGTTTTATCGTTTTGTTGTTTGTTAAACCTTGGAAAACTTTCACTCTTTTTCTGTTGAACAGTTTTAACAATCATGCAGAGCTTGCAGTACCATATGAGAATCAAATGTATATAATTGTTTTAGACAGATGTGTTCAGTTGGAAAAAAACACTAACATCCACTACTTGTTGTGAAGCAGAACAATGAGTTGAGCAGCAGCTAAGATGTACCCACATTATTTATTTTTCTAAAAGTATAGCATAGGTGTTTAACCCCTTAAGGACAGAGCTTCAGAAGCTTGTCTTTCCCTTAATGACAACAAAATTTTTTGCTGTTTACGTTCAACTGCAATTTGCATTTTACTAATTTATTGCACCGACACATATTATATACCGTTTTTTAAAGGACAGAAAGGGCTTTAATTTGATGTAACATATATATATATATATATATATAAGTGCTTATTTATTATTAAAAAAAAATACAGAAAAATGCAAAAAAAATTTAAAATGTGTTTTTTTTTTTTACAGTTTTTGCAATAAGAATGTGTGCACAATTAGTGCAGGTTAAGGAAAGTAATTAAACATAAATTCATTTAGTTGTTCTGATTTACAGAATATATAATGTGTCTGGGATTTTAAGTTTTTTTTGGTAGTTACAGGTCACAAAGCACAAAGAGTAAAAAACTTTTAATGTGGAGCGATTTTAGAAT